TAACCCTATAGCATAAGATTACTATAGCCTGTATTGTTAATAAGTACGCGTAGGATAAGCGGCTTACCGGACTCCGCGACGGCTTGAAGCATATTAATGCTCTTGCTATATTAATAGTGCGTATTAAGGCAAGGGCTAAGGACACAGACAGGAGAAGTTATAATAACTCCCTAGTCGATATCGCTATATATAGTAATAGCGATTAAAGCACTAATGTAGTTAATCCGGCTGCTAGCACTACTAGACACATACAATACGTACCTCGTTTAATAGCGAGGGTGCTATTAAATAACCTTATAAATAGGGATAGTTAATCGTTTATAGATAAGCTGTTACGTACTTAGCAGAGGGACGCCTTTGCTACTAAACGTATCGACAAGCTTATAAGTAGGCGAAAGACTCGATCTAGTAAGAGTAACAACAATTAGTCGATCGACGACAAGGGTTACTTAAAGTTTAAGGGCAGATACTATGTCCCCGCTAAACAATCGATTAGACAAGAGCTTCTTAAGCGACACTATAATAGTAAGCTTGCCGGTTACTATAGTATAGAGAGGTCGCACGAGCTGCTATCGCGTATGTGCTACTAGCTAAATAGTAAGCGGGATATAAAGGACTACGTAAACACGTATACTGTATACTAACGTGTTAAGGCACTAAAGCATTAGCCTTTTAGCGAGTTGTCCTCTTTACTAATCCCTTACAAGCCATTTATAGAGCTTATAATAGACTTTATTATAGGCCTTCCGCCTGCTAAGCGTAGGGGTAGCAAGGACGTATATAATGCTATCCTTGTTATAGTAGATCGATTTACTAAAGGCGCTCGATATATCCCGGCGCGTAAGGATTAGACTACTATTAATATAGCAGAGGCGCTATAGACTAACATCTTCTATACCTATTAGAGAACCCCTAAGGGGATAGTCTCTAATAGGGGCTCGACATTTACATCGCGCTATTAGAGCGAAATATGCCTATAGCTAAGACTAAAGCATCGGCTATTAATAGCCTTCTTTCTATAGACTAACGGTTAAATAGAGAGACAGAATGCTACCCTATAGCAGTACCTACGCAGCTACATTAATAAGAACCCCGATAACTAGGTCAATCTCCTACAACTAGCCGAATTCGTATACAATAACAGTGTCTACTTATCTACTAAGGTGTTACCTTATTTCGCTATAATAGGAAGCAACCCTACGCTACTATAAGACCCCCTATCGCTCGAGGCCGAGCGTAAGGAAAGGGAAGCGGGTTAACCTAAGACACTAGCGGCTATTAAGAGGGTTTAAAAGATGCGAGAAATTCACGCTAAGATAGCTAATAAACTAGCAAAGGCCTAGGCCTATTAGAAGGCCTACTATAACAAACACTACCTTCTAATAACCTTTAAGCAAGGCGACCTAGTTATGCTTAGTACGAAGAACCTCCGTATCCGCAAACACCCCTCGCCTAATAGCAAAACAAGGCCTAAACTCGCACTAAGGTACATTAGCCCTTTCTGTATCCGAGAACCTAGGGGCACCTAGGCCTATTAGTTGTAGCTTCTACCTTATTACACTATCTATAACACCTTCTATATATCCCTCCTTAAGCCGTACTACCTACGCGAAGGGGATAAAGCACCTACTAAATCCGAGGACATGCTAGCTAATAGTAAAGAACTGTAGTCTATAGAACGTATCCTAAAGCACTAGACTAGACAAGGCAAGAAGGAGTACCTATTAAGGTAGTAAGGCTATTCGCCTAAATAGGACTCGTAGGAAGCTAAAGGTTCTTTTAAAGATATAACTAAGTTGTTAGATAAGTATTAGACTAGTATAAAGAACAAGAAGAAGGCTAAGGGCCTATAATGTCGCCTAGGAATAATACTACCCCCGGGGTGCTATTAGCTAACTAATTAGAGGCCGGCAAACTAGGACAATAAGACTACACTACTATAGTATACGCGTACCGAGTGTTAATAAGCGCGCTATTACGCGTTACTATCTACTACTCTTTTAGGAACTACCTCTCTACTAACGCGCCCTATAAGGCCCTTCTCCTAGTATTTAGGTCCCCCTTATGTTCCCTTATTCTATCGAGGCCTCGAGGCCTAGGCAATCGGCGAGGACGGCGCGGCCGGCGCGGCTATATTAGTAATAGTATTGCGGAGTGTATTACTGTTAAGAAAGGACGGATACGGCTATGTTAGTAACGGTGTTACCGAGTTGTTATTAGTTAAAGAAGGAAGTTAGAAGAAGGTAAAGTTAGCGCTACGACGACTAGCGCCGCTATTATTAAACATTACCTACTATTGCTACTATACTTGTAAAGACAACCTTACCTATACTACGAGCCTAAGGCACCTTTAATCAAAACTTTAATCAAAACTTTAAGGCCGAGTTAAAACTTTGACTAAGTTAAAAGATTAAGCGACTAATAGACTAACTAAGGGCAAAAACTATAGAGCTAAGCTAGCCGGGGTCGATCTTATAGACAATAGGTTACTCCTCGATCTTTCCGACCCTTTAAGCGAGGCAAACCTTAACTATTGCACTTATAATAGCCTTTACCTATAGAAACTAGAAGAACTGAGTTTTTTGAAAAGATATAATTAGTTAATACTTAAAGGCTGCTAAACCTAACCAATTTAGGCTAGTAAAACTACGATAGTAAATAATAACCCCTAGAAGCGGACAAACCCTCGGGAGCGGATATTGCTAGGTCTTTTAAGAGTAGACGCAAAGAACTCGGTACGATATTACTTAGAGTAGAGGTAGGGCTACAATACCTCGTACGTCTACCTATTATAGTAGGGAAGACGCGCTCGTATTATAATTAGTCGAAGGCTCTTAATTCTTGTAGATATATATTACTTTATAGTTTATTATATATAGGGATAGCGTAGTTAGAAGTTAGATATTGTGTTAGAAGGTAAGGTTTAACATAGTTACATAATTAGGTAGTTAAGTGTTTAATTTAGCGCGGCTAAGCAGCTTATTAGACTTGCTAAGTTAGTAGTAACAGGGGTCGAGGTTAGAACATAGAAAGGCTACGAGGGCGCGGCCTTTAGAAGGGAAGCGTATGTTAGAGGCTATACGTAATTAGTATGTAACTAGCTCGAGTGAAGCTAGGGTCTTAGTGCCTTAGGCAGGGCTTGGCGCTTGGCGTTAGGCTAACTAGCCTGCCTTCCTCCTTCTTCTTCTAGTTCTCTATCGAATACTACTCGTACCTACTACCACCCTATCTACCTACTAATATACCCCCCTTAGGGTAGTAGTAGGTACGAGTAGTAATTCGATAAGGAGCTAGGAGGAGAGGGAGGAAAGTAGGCAAGTTAGCCTATTACTAAGCGCTAAGCCCTGCCTAAGGCATTAAGACCCTAGCTTCACTCGAGCCTAGTTACATGCTAATTACGTGTAACCTCTTTGGTCCTAACATATTAATTCTTTAATATTTCTATTAATAGCTACTATATCTAATAAATTAGTAGTTCTCTCTAGATTTAGTTTTATTTACTTTACTAGTGTTAGTACTATAACCTAGTACTATTAGGTAGTGAAAAAAACTAGATCTTTTTAACTATATATAGAAATTTTCTTTATACTATAACTAGTAAAACGATAAAGATATTAATTTCCCTAATAGTATATTCTAAATTAATTAAAAATTAATATCTCTCTAGGTTTACTAGATACAACTCTAGAAAACATTATAATATATTTAAGAAAAATAAAGACAAGGACTTATATAGGATGCACTTTGTTAGAATAAATAGTATAATAGTAATTACTAATAAATAATTAATTCTCTTTAAATAATAAATATTAATTTATTTAGTTTATTTTAGTTTATTAGAATTAGTAATATAGCCTACTTAGTTTAGATATAAGAAAAATTAGATCTTTTTTAGCTAGATATAGATTTAGGTTGAAATAGTATATCTAATAAACATATTATAATATTAGTTTCTTTAAAAATGTATTCTAAAAAATTTGAAAATTAAGCTCTATATAGTTTTACTAGATATAGCTCTAGTAAATATTGCAATATATTCTAGAAAAATAAGTATTAGGGCTTATATATAAAACACTTTACTATAATAACTTATATAATAGTAATTACTAATAAATAAGTAGTTCTTTATAAATTCTGTTTTATTTAATTTACTAGCATTCGTAATATAGTCTACTTAGTTTAGTTTTAAGAAAAAATTAACTATATATAATTTTTTTAATAGTTTATCTATTTCAACTATAAAGATATTAACTTCTATAAGAACCTACTATTAGAATTTTAAGAATTAATATCTCTATAGTTTTACTAGATATATCTATAGTAAATATTATAATATATTCTAGAAAAATAGATGCTAGGACTCGTATAGAATACAATTTACTATACTAAATAGTATAATAGTAATTACTATAGTAATAGTAATATTACTATAGTAATTACTATTACTATTACTATTACTATTACTATAGAATTCTCTATAGGATTACTATTACTATTACTATTACTATTACTATTACTATTACTATTACTATTACTATTACTATTACTATTACTATTACTATTACTATTACTATTACTATTACTATTACTATTACTATTACTATTACTATTACTATTGCCAATTTGACTTTACTATTTACTATTTACTATTACTATTACAATTACTAAGGTTTTTACATCTCTGTGTGCAAGCCAAAATACCACAAAGCTAGAATTGGGCATGAAATTTGCAACCACAAAGGGGTATCATACTGTGCCTCATCACAGTCACTCATGTTACCCCACTTTACTTCCATCGCGTCCATCGAATCACTGCCTGCCTGCCTTCGCTGGCGTCTAATGTCCTTTCTTCGGATTGTGCACGCCTGTGGCTCCGAAATGTTGCATGTCGCAAGCCGCAGACAACTCCAGATACCACGTCCGATTTCTTCGGATCGGAAGCAGCAAGGAGCGAAGACAGGAGGAAAGGGAGTTACGAAGACGAACGTGAAGGGGGAGGTGGTGTGCAATAATTTGGTGACAATGGCTAGCGTCGAAGCTCCCCAATGTCACGGGACGACAGCTCTCAAACTCACTGAGCCTGCTATGTCCGTGATCTATCTTCGGATTTTTTTCATTCCCGACAGATCTGAGTCGGCACAAGGTCGCCTGCGAAAAGAAAATCGTCATGCAGTACCCCAGGGGCTGGGTGTGTGTGCGATAGGCAGCTCTGAGGATGGCGCGCACGTCTATCATGGCTGCTCTTGTGCTGTCATCACTGAATGAGCCTTCGCAGTCGGTCAGGATGGTCCTCACTGAATCGCCCAGTGCTTCTGTAAGCCGTCATCGGACTCGGATGAAGTCGAATACTTGCTTTCGCCGCTTTACTGCTGTTCTGAGTCTCTTTGGATCTCTGTCGTTCACTGGGCTTCGTCTGCAATCATGGAAACGTGTAGACTTTCCGCCCTAGGCCGTAGGGACCGTGTAAAAGACGACCTGCTGCCAGCAGATGATTCCCCTGAGCTTGCGTTCGACCCGCTTCTTGCCTCTCTGGCGTTCCCAGCACGGAGATAAGACTGGAATGCCTTCTCAACTTCTAGTATCTCCTTGGGCTTCTTCGAAAATGCCAATTCATCTTCTTCCTCCTCAGGTCCTTCTGATCCTTCTACAACCTGCTTGTCGGAGATGCGATCGTCTTCCTTGGATCTTCTGGGCCTTGGTTTGTTCTGAATATGATCGGAAGATTTGTCTCCTTTCGTTTCAGAATTATGCTCGGTTGTCTGTAGTGTCCCTGGCGGCGTTCCCGACTGCGCTGGCATCTGTGGCTCAGATTTCGACTCCGTGGAGTGCGAGGTCTCCAGCGTAGCGGCCAATGGTCCGTTAATCATCGGCCGAGGGGAGACTGGAGTTGAGTTTGGCATAGGAAAGGCCTCTGTTGATAACGATTCTTCTTTCGTGGAGTCGGTACTCTCTTTGGGAATATGCTTAGAAGCCCTCCACTGCTCAATGATCTGCCGCATCTCTATGGCACGAACGAATCTGTGAATCTCCTTGTGATGCTCGCAGATAGCGTATGAGAGGGCGTTCGCCAAGTGGTCCACCAGCGAATCGCCAGTCGTTTCGGTCGTGTCAGCGGCCTTCAGAATCTCACCAATGGAGGCTTCAAGGTAAACTTCTGGTATGAGCCGTTGGCACGACGACTTGTTGTCCTGCTTTCCCTTGCAAAGATACCAAGTCTGCCCATTAGAAATGTAGGCGTTCAGATCGAAGCCCAGTCGTTCAAGCAGATCTGCGTAAGCATTGAGCATCGACGCTTGGAGCTGATGCTCATTGACGGCACGGTAGAGAATTTCCTTCCTAAAGGCGGAATGTGAAGCATTTTTCCTGCTTTTTATTGGTCCATTACTGGAAGGGTCTGAATCAAGTCAGCAAAGCGTGCCCTGTAGATATTGTTCAAGTCGTACCTCCATGCCCATGACTCCTGTTGCTCTTGGCTGACAGCTTGGACGAGCTTGGGTGAACGACTTTACGAGGACCCGGGTGGGCGTTAATAAGAAGTTCTTGTGTTATAGACATGGTGCAGAGTGATCCTAGGACGGGTACGAGCAGTGGTCCGACTTCCAAAGAGCTACAAGTCCATTCCAGAACCACGGCCAGTGTCAAGTAGCTTGCATCCCTGAGATCTGCGACAGGGAAGACACTTACATGTATATTCTCTCGCTCTCGATCTCATCCTCGCTGGTGCACCGGCCAAAGATAGCAAAAGCCGCGAAGAACGAAGGCTGCACTGGCACAGCTTGGCGAATAAGATCATCGTGGGCAGTATGCGGAGCGGCATGGCAGTGGTCTAGGTTCTGTGTAGGATCAACAAGCATGTACGGAGGCTTATTCATTTGCCAGGGCTGGGGGCCGAGGGCTCTAACACATGCTGCGCCTATGGTCTTGGCCAATGCAATAGGAGACGAACGTTCTAGCGTCTCTCTAAGGAGGTGGTAGCGCGCAATTGGCTTGGTCAGGCGTGCTGTTCTCCAGTACTAAAAATGTGGGATAGGAGAAGACCACCTTACTGTCTGTTGCCGCTGTCACGACTGTGATTTTTGGCTGCTCCTGCCTTTGCGAACCTGGTCAGATTCGCAGCAGGAAGAGTCGAGACTGCGAGCATTGGATATGGCTAGTGAAGCGCCTTGCAATTGTTTCACTCGGTGCCTGAAAGCAGTGGCCCATCGCCATTGGTGATTGCAGAGATCGAAGGTTCCAGGGATAGCGGCAGGAGAGAAGCTGAGAGCCGAGTCTCTCAATCCTGATCTCCGGTGCTTGATTTGCAACGCGACTCAGGTCCGCGTCTAGTTGACAGCTTCTCTGCAACTGTTATAGAAACTCAGGGCGAACCGTAACGCCGAGCGTTGCGCTAAATACGGCCTCTTGCCCTTCCAGGTTCTGCCTCTCCCTGAATACTACTACTACTACTACTACTACTGCTGTTAAAGAGTTATCTTCTAAGAGAAATGTCTATATAGATAATTGTAATTTAGTTAGAATTCTATCTACTATAAAGACTCTATTATAAAAAACTTAGGTCTTAGGAATCTTAAGTCTAAACTATAAAAAATCTAAAGAAGTTAAAAAATAAAAATATTAAAAAATAAACCTATTAAAAAATAAACCTATTAAAAAATAAACCTATTAAAAAACAAACCTATTAAAAACAAACCTATTAAAAAACGTTACGAAAACTTCTTCTCCGATCGCGACGATCCTATCGATCCTAGCGATCGCGAGCGATCCCGAGCGATCGTAAGCGATCGCGAGCGATTCCGAGCGATCCTAAGCTATCCTAGAACGATAAATAGGTAACTTATAAAAGTTAGACTTTTACCTAATACTATACTAAAAATAGAACATTTTTGTTATATATTACTAAGCCGTAAACCTTCTAGATAAAAAGATATAAAGGAAAGAAAATCGCTTTTCTAGACATTTTGCTTCTAATTTATCTTTTTTTCTAGTAGGTTTATAGCTTAGTAATATAGTAAAAAGATACTCTATTTTTAGTATATTATTATAAAAAAATATAAAATTTATAGATTTTCTACGAAACTAAAGCTAGGGAATAGAAATAAGCAATATAGTATTTTGGCTTTTCTAAGTTATACTTTACTATTTTTAGAAATCTAAAAAATAGAACTTAAAGTTCTACCTATTAATAAGAATATTATAAATTTTGAAGTCTTAATACCTAGTAATTATCTTAGAATCTAGAAAAGAATATCGAGTATTTCGAGTGTACTTTTTTTTAAAGTTCTGCTTATTAAGCGTCGGCTTTTGAAAGAAACCTTAACGAAATATCGGCTGCATTTAACGAAACCTTAACGAAAAAAATTTATTTATAAAAAATACCTACGAAACCGCTAAATTTGACCTATGTATATGCGCAATACCCCTATATACCTCGTAGTAGTAGTAGTATCGGGCTCTAACTTGTCCCGCGTTCTTTGCGTTCCTCGGCCTCGAATTTCGGGACGGCCCGTCCCGAAATTTGCGATCGCGACGATCCTGTCGACAGGATCGCTCGGGATCGCGGGGCCGCGATCCTGTCCGATAAGATCTTTAACGTGCGATCCCGAGGATCCTAAGGATCCTAAGGATCCTATCGATAGGATTGTCGCGATCGGAAAAAAAGTTTTCGTAACGTTAATGCTTCTTACCTTCTAGAACAAATAGTCTTCTATTAAACCGCCTTAGTAGGTTATCGTTAGATTCGAATAAAAGATAGTAGCTTAAGGAAGGGGAGGTAGCCGGCTTAGGAAGGCCCGAAGAGCCGAATCCTTAAGGTATATTTATCTTTAAGAATATAGGGAAAGGGAAGAAAGAGAGGAAGAGTAAATAGAGAATTAGAAATAGTTCGTAGGTAAGCGGGGTCGGTTGCTATAGCAACTAGTCTATTTAGGTCCTAGGAATTCGAAATATATTTCGGATATATACCGGCTATATACGCCGGCTATATTACCTTATACGTAAACGCTTCGTCTCTTTAAAGCTACTCTAAGCCTATATACGTTTCCGCTTCTCGACCTAGTATCGCCTTCTACCTCTACCCTCCTTCTCTTCGTTATCGCTAATTAGGGTTTCGCTTAGACTAAATTTCGCATTCTCTTTACGCTCCTAGGTTTCTTCGATCTTAAGGTTTTCTAATTCCTCGATTAACTCCTTTAGTATAATCTTTAGTAACCTACCTTAGCGATTCTAGTAGAGGAGATAGTATCGGAATACTATAATAGATTCGAAGGTAGTAGGCGAGTATATTCGATTAAAGCGGCCCTAGTAACGAGCGATACTAAAAGACCTCTTATAGCCTATACCTACGCTCGGGATAGCGCTCGGGATAGCGAGGACGTCCCGAGCGACCGACGCTATCGTTAGAAACTTAGGCTCTAACCGCTACTATATAGCGAGAATATCGTCTCCGAATTCGTCTAGAAGACTAGTAAGATCTAGAGATTATTAGCCCTCTTTCCGAGCCTACGGGTTTATACTTACTCGCGCGCCGATAGAGATCGAACTCTTCTTTATTTACTTTAGTAGTTACTTCCTCTTCTGCCTCTACTTCCTACCTACGAAACAGGTATAATATCGGAGCCTTCTAAACCTTCTTTTTCTTTATAGGAGCTGTATTTAGACTAGCTTCTTTCCGATACTCGTAGAATATCTTTTCTAGAATAGTCTAGTAATGCTTCGGCTATACCTCGTCCGCCTTCTATTCCGGCCTCTACTAGTATATATCCTTTTCTACCGGGTTAAGCAAGTACGTAACGCTATAGATATCCCCGAACGACTTAAAGGTAGCACTATAATATTTATATAACTTAGTATAGGAGGTGTCTATAGCTTTCGTTATAGCTACTTTCTAGGGAACGCTCTTCTTAGCTAGCTTAGCTACGGTTTCCTCGAGCTCGTTAAAGAGCTAGTTATAGTACGTAAAGACAAGGTAGATCGTCGGTCTTCGGGTTCTTCTAATCGTAGTAGTAACCTTCGCGTAATGCTTACTAATATTAACGAGATACTCTACTTAGCGCTATTCGGCGGCGGTAAGGCCGAGCTACTTAATACCCTCGGAACTCTAATAGATCTCGAGAGCAGTACGTAAAGTATATCCCCTCGTAACTATATAGAAAGTCGAATCGAACCGGGTTTTAACGTCTTAGGTAAAATAGAGTAGGCGCTAAGGAGGCCGCTTTTGCTATCGCTTATTCTATACGATATTCTAGGTATCGGTTTTAGGGCGCTCGATTAGGTTCTTTTAAATAGCCTCGAATCGGTTATATCTCTATAAGCTCGAGTTCGTATATATTACTAGACGACGAAGCTAGAGAAAAAGAGTTAGAACTATACTAGGTTGCCGGCTATAGGTACCGGCTACGGACAAAAGTTATACCTTATATAAAACGAGAGCGAGGCTCTCTACCTTATCCCGTCTTATTACTATAATAAGTTTCTCGACTTTCGACTTTGCTTTATCCTTATCTAGGATCTTCTATTAGTCGTCGTTTAATAGTGCAATTTTAAGCGTCTTAAAGAGGGCTCGGATCGCGATTTAAACTATATAAGCGAGGTAGGGAAACTTCTATAGGGATATAACTAGCAACGACGTCGGCTCCGATTTAATAGGGCTAGGGCTATTAATAGGCTCCTCTTTATCGTTATTATCGTGCATATTGTCGTACGTATCCGGAATCGTAGCGAGCTTAACATTCGGAAGATTAAGCTAGATTATAGACCTTATAATCTCCTCTACGTACTCGACCCTATCGATATAATTAGTAATTTCAAAGATATATACGAGTGAATTGTATATATAACGCCTTATATAATGTTCGATTATTACTAGCGTTATCCGTAGTAATCGAGATTAGTTTCGTTATTACGCTAACCCTATCTATTACTGTATAGACAAGCTTCGCTATATCCTTACTAGTATAGGAACCTAGAATTTTAGGGAATCCGATTATAAGTTCCTAGAGTTTCTAATCCGAATTAATAAAGTATAGTATAATCGAGAGGAAGGAGGCTCTTATAGTCCGGCTTAACTAGCTATCGATAGTAATAGCTACTCGGCGAGTATTACGGAGGATCTCCCGAATATCGTCTAACGTAGCCTCTTTATTCTTTTCGAATATAATACGCTAGGTTATCGCGCCGAGAAATAGGGGAGGGTAGTTTATAAGATATAGGTATATCTTCTATATAGACTCCCTTTCGTAGAAGTCTTCCGGAAGACCGTTTATAGCTAGTATTTCGTTTGCTAGTTGCTTAAAGTCTTCGGAGGAGAAATCGGTAGCCTTTAATCCTAGAGCTTCCTTAAGCGTAGCCTATAATAATTAGCTAGACCTCTACGGTTGATTTAAGTAGCTAGAATCTATAGCCGGAATCTGTAGCCGGAATCTATAGCCGGCAGCTATAGCCGGCAGCTATAGCCGGCAGCTGTAGCCGGTAGCTATAGCCGGCATTTTAGAAGACGTACCTCTTTCTAGAACGCTGTATCTATATTAACTCTCCTCTCTCCTTAAGATTCCCGATACCGTTTAGAATAGAGATAGTTCGTAGGCGATAAGTTCCTATCCTCTAGTTTCGGGTATTTTAAGATTAAA